TAACAGCTAAAATGGATAGCACATGTAACTCAAAGAGAAAATAATGACATAATCAAGATGTTGACATTCCACACTACTTCAAACAAAAGGTTATGAAGGACCCCCTCCCCAACCAGTACTGGAAAAAGTAATGACAGGTAAAATGGACAGCACATGTAACAAAGAGAAAATAATGATATAATCATGACACTGATATTCCACTCTACTTCAAACAAAAGATTAGGAAGGAAACTCCCATTAATACTGAACTTGAGAAACTTATTTTCCTGAAAAATTTCTAATAAAATTATTTAGAAATATTTTATAAATTTCAACCAAAAGTAGCACTGACTGCTTGACCCATGAATGCTGAATGTTTCCTTATAAGGAAACAGATAATATTACCATTACAATAACCATTACATAACTATAAATGGCTTACTATAAATTGATATGCAACAATCTCATCTGGAAGATAATTACTACTATATAACTATGGTTATTTTCTCAGTGCGGCTTAGATGTGGCACAAGGCTGAAACTATGTGGTACCCAGTGAAGATCAAATTCACTACTCTGTTATAATTTTTCTAGCAAGAAAAGTTTGCTAACCATAACACAACATCAAGGTGCTCTATTGCTGTATAGTTATGTTCTTTCATATCCCTTAACTACTATACTTGATGGTAATGGAGTTGCTATACAAGAAAGAATAGTTGTCATTTCCCCATTATAAGCATTATTATATCTGTGGTAAGTAACACTTTAATACACTGATGGAACAGAATAGTTGAATGAAAGGACTGACAAATATGCATTGTTCTCAAAAAGATTTTTTATACTAATATACATACTTGTCACTAATTTGTCCCACACCAAAAATTATAACATATGCATATAACAAGCAGTGTGATAGAGGCAAAAATTGAAAATGTCTCACATGTAACATTTCCAAATGGGAAAAGGTCCACAGTTTGCCGATGACTGTTTTAGAACTTCTTCATCACTCACATATTCTGTCCATGATTTTCTGTCTGTCTGTAGGCCACATATTAGTTGCTTTGAGTTTTTCTTCATCTATAAGGAAATTGTTTAAAGTTGACTGCTATACAAGACGATAGATATGACATAGCAGTTCAGCACTCTTTCTTATCTCTTAACACTTAGTTTCTGGAAGGCTTTTTTCGTTATTCTAATATACTTTTAGATCTCTTTGTTACACTTTCCATTATCTGTTATTATTCTTCCTAGATTAAACTTATATACTTGCCTGATTCTCATGTAAGTATTCGAAGCTTGTGCCTCTTATTGATGAATATCCATTTTTAGTTAATAGTTCTTTACTTTTGCTTTCCTTTTCTACCTTGTCACAGAGTCTTTACCATTTTCCTTCTGAGTTCCAAAGAGAATCAGTTCCTGTTACTGCTCAAGTAAGTACCTGACTCCTCCTACTAACCTTTATTTTTACAAGAGTCGGATCAGGCCAAAAATATAGTACTGCTGCCATATATGGGCTGGAGCTACACAGTCTTTACTTTCCAGTCTCGATAGAGTCGAAAAGCATCTCTATATCTTTGTGGGTGATGTATTATTTTCCACTCTCCTTAACCACCAACAAAATATTGCAAGGTTCCTGCTCCTCTATCACTATTTTTGTATTAGATATATAATTTCACATTAGACCAATACAATCTACATGTCTCATTCATGACAAACCTTCTCCATTTAAGACACACCCTGTAATTTTTGGTTATCCCTGCACAACATGGGATAACAACCTTTATTTACTATCTAAATTTCTAAGAAAATTGGTCATGGTTCATTGGATATATCCTGAACACTATTTCTTTATTAATATGAAGGATGTTCCTTTAGGGAAGCCCCATACCCTGAGCACCTCTTGCGACTTAAGCTCAACCCTGCCCTCAAATGTAATTCATACATATTTCCATCGCTAAAGATGCTGGAAAAATAAAGTACCTGACTCCTCCTATTATCGTCTATCTTTACAAGAGTGAGATCAGGCCCTAAATAGAGTTCTGTTGCCATATATGGGCTGAAGCTGCCCAGTTTTCAATTTCCAGTCTGGATAGAGTCCAAAAGTGTCCCCACGTCCCTTTGGGTGACAAATTATTTTCCATCCTGTAATCTGTTTCATCACAAGTCTCTTGCTACTTGCTACTATATCGCTATTTCCATGGATAATGTTCAGACAAACTATATTCCTTAGTTTCACTAGAATTAACCTTTATAATTAATACCCATGATACCACAGCTATTGTAGCAAATGACACTCAAGACTAGGGTCAACCGTTATCTTCACCACATATCCCCATAAACCGTGTCTCTTACACCTTAAACCTCTACCTCGAGTTGCTCTTGAGCCTTGTACATAGTGAGTATCATTGTAAATAAACATGGTACAGTGTCATGCACATCTCATATATGCTTGTTATTCTTATTATTTCAAGAGTTGTTTGGACTCCTAAATTCCTTCATGAAGCTAAAACAGAAGGAATATCCAAAGATGAAGTAGAAAATTCTGTGATAACAGATTATATCTTTTCAATTAATATATAAAGAGTTTCATTCTAAGCTGAGAAAATAGAAGAGACTGCATATATTCACCTTGCGTACAAATGTATGCCAGTCCAGTGTTGATTTCAGTGGAATATGGATTTCTTTGCTAAGCAGAAAAATGTTTAGAGTGAATCACTATGAATATAGAACTACCTGTGTTACACCTGTTTCTGTGAATGGTTTGATCCAGTCAATGTGAATTAACTTGTGTTACATGTGTTACTTTGAATGGGTTGACCTGATCACTGTATTTTTTGTATTTTTGTATTTTGCACAATTTTAAAAACAGGACCCCTCTCTTTGCACACAATTTATAACCTTGAAGAAATTAGTTGAAACATGTTAGCAAAGCAACAAAAAAAGTCCAATTTAAGTATTTTGATGAGTATTTTTTTACCAGTTACAACACTGAAATAACGTACAAGTGCTATCAGAATTAAGTAGGAAAATAATGTAATCACAGTCTTGCACTGATAATGAAGGTTGTCAGAGCAACAGTGAAATTATTCAGGGAAAGGAAGAAAGTGTAAGCTGAGAGAGAAAGAAGAAATAGTGAAGTCAGTAAAAGGAGAGTCTGAGAAAGCCATAGAGAGATAAGAGAGAGAAAAACTGAGAAAGAAATGGTTTGATAAGGAAGAGTTAGAAAGATATGGTAGAATGAGTGAAAAAGATAGTGAGGTAAAAAGAGACTGAGAATGAGAGAGTGAGGTAAGAGAGAGATTAAGAAAGAGGTGGTGATATTAGAGAGAGGGTGAGGTAAGAGAGAAAGTGTGAGGAAGGTTGTGAGGTAAAAGGAACTGAGAATGAAAGAGTGAGGTAAGAGAGAGAGAGAGAGTGTGAGTGAAAAAAGAAATGAAGTAAAAGAAACTGAGAATGAAAGAGTTAAGTAAAGAAGAAAGAGAAAGATGTTGAAATGAAAGAAAGCGAAAGAGTGAAGTAACAGAGAGAGGGAGAGTGAAAAAGGGACAGTGAGCTAAAAGATATTAAGAATGTGAAAGGGATGTGGGAGAGAGAGAGAGTATAAGAAAGAGATGGTGAGGTAAAAGAAAGCGAAAGAGTGAAGTAACAGAGAGAGGGAGAGTGAAAAAGGGACAGTGAGCTAAAAGATATTAAGAATGTGAAAGGGATGTGGGTGAGAGAGAGAGTATAAGAAAGAGATTGTGAGGTAAAAGAAAGCGAAAGAGTGAAGTAATAGAGAGAGGGAGAGTGAAAAAGGGACAGTGAGCTAAAAGATATTAAGAATGTGAAAGGGATGTGGGAGAGAGAGAGTATAAGAAAGAGATGGTGAGGTAAAAGAAAGCGAAAGAGTGAAGTAACAGAGAGAGGGAGAGTGAAAAAGGGACAGTGAGCTAAAAGATATTAAGAATGTGAAAGGGATGTGGGAGAGAGAGAGTATAAGAAAGAGATGGTGAGGTAAAAGAAAGCGAAAGAGTGAAGTAACAGAGAGAGGGAGAGTGAAAAAGGGACAGTGAGCTAAAAGATATTAAGAATGTGAAAGGGATGTGGGAGAGAGAGAGTATAAGAAAGAGATGGTGAAGTAAAAAGAACTGAGAATGAGAGAGTGATGTAAGAGAGAGAGAGAGAGAGAGAGAGGGAAAGAGCAAGAAAGTGAAAATGGGATAAAAGAGACTGAGAGTGATGTAAGAGAATGAGAGATAGTGTAAAAGAGACAGAGAATGAGAAAGTGATGTAAAGAAGAGATAGTTATAAAGAGACTGTGAGCTTGAGGTAAGAGAAAAAGCGAGAAAGAGATAATGAGGTAAGACAGAGTGAGAGTGGGGAAGAAAGAATAGTGTGCTAAGAGAGAAAGGGGGAGAAAGAGATGGTGGGATAAAAGAGAAAGAGGGAGAAAGGGATGGTATGGTTATTAGACAAAGAGGACAAAGAGATTTTCTGGTAAGAGAGAAAAGTGGAGAAAGAGATGATGACATAAAAGAGAAAGGAAGAGAAAGAGATGATATGTTTATAGAGAGAGGGATGGAAAAGAGATGGTACAGTAAAAGAAAAAGAGGTTGAGATAAGAGAGAAAGGGGGAGAAAGAGATGGTGTAGTGAGAGAGAGAGGTAGAAAGAGATGGTGTGGTGAGACAGAAAGAGTGAAAAAAAGATTGTGAGATAAGCGAGAAAGGGGAAGAAATCACTGGTTTAGTAAGAGAGAAACAGAGAGAAAGTGATGAAGTGCTAAGAGAGAGAGAGAGACAGGAACAGAAAGAGATGGAGTGCTGAGAGAGAGAGAGAGAGAGGAAGAGAAAGCAATGGTGTGATAAGAGAAAAGAAGGGTAAATAAGAGAGAAAGGGGGAGAAATAAATGGTGTGCTAAGAGAGAGGAAGAGAAAGAGATGTGAGATAAGAAATAAGGGGGAAGGAAGAGAGGGAAAGAAAGAGAGAGAGGAAGAGAAAGAGATGTGAGATAAGAAATAAGGGGGAAGGAAGAGAGGGTGTGCTAAGAGAGAGAGAGGAAGAGAAAGAGATGTGAGATAAGAAATAAGGGGGAAGGAAGAGAGGGTGTGCTAAGAGAGAGAGAGGAAGAGAAAGAGATGTGAGATAAGAAATAAGGGGAAGGAAGAGAGGGAAGCATGAGAGAGAGAGGAAGAGAAAGAGATGTGAGATAAGAAATAAGGGGGAAGGAAGAGAGGGTGCTAAGAGAGAGAGGAAGAGAAAGAGATGTGAGATAAGAAATAAGGGGAAGGAAGAGAGGGTGTGCTAAGAGAGAGGAAGAGAGAGATGTGAGATAAGAAATAAGGGGAAGGAAGAGAGGGTGTGCTAAGAGAGAGAGGAAGAGAAAGAGATGTGAGATAAGAAATAAGGGGGAAGGAAGAGATGGTGTGTTAAGTGAGAGAGGAAGAGAAAGATGTGAGATAAGTAAGTAAGGGAGAAAAAGAGATGAAGAGATAAAAAATAAAGGGGGAGAAAGAGATGCTGCAGTTATAGAGACAGTGAAAGATGAAGAGATGAAAACGCATCCATTTTCCATATCAATTTACCATTTTCCTTTATTTCTCTAATATTATGTCAATTTTAAAGTAACAAAAAAAAAACATTATCTTATGAATTCTTGAAGCTTTGATCTAGACAAATTTCCTGTTATTTTGATTGATTTATTTTTAATACACATTCAACTCTCTTGCCATCTTACTTTATACCTGTGAATTTGAAAGATAGATGCAACAACTACACGCATCTTTTTACTGATCAGGTGTAACAAATAACACTAATGGGTGTTGAATTTGTGTCTCCATTCTGCTTCATAAAACTATCTTTTTATTATCACTTTTACAGACATGTACTGCTTGCATGAAGATTTCAAATTCTTTGCTCAACAGAGAATTCTCACATTTTTGACAATTTTTTAATATATATACATTAAACGCAGTAAAGGATTTATATATATTATATTCAGTAAACCAGGCCTTTTTGTCCACTCATGGAAACATGTGGCAATTGATCATCAACCAGTCATGTGTCATGCACGATACATGCTTAAGCGATCATGTATCTTTCAATACGTGACTGACAAGACAGATTTTTTCCTGCGGTAGGTTGCCATTTCTTTCTGCAGTAGACCAGTTGCCATCCAAGGCTATAGAATCCAGTCTGTCCTGGTATTTACCCATAGCTAGGGGAGAAGAAGAGGATTCATACCTTTCCCAAAGGTATTAGCACGTAAGTGAATGCAATGGATTTAACTGGAATTCGAACTCGGCTTTCCGATTCCTTAATCCGAGCCACTATCCATTACTCCACCATGCCTCCAGACCCTTACTCAGGTCAAATGTAATGTCTAGGAAATTGATAACTTTAGCATTGTTAATGTTGGTAATGTATAGTTTATGGTCCTTAAAGAATTTAGTTAGGTTCTTTCTTATCCAGTCCACATGTCTTAGTCTCAGTATACAAAGGAGAATTATCCAGTTGTCTCTGTATATACTGTTGTTTTTTATATTGGAGATAAATCTTAGTCTTCATAATAACAGCATCCCTACAAGTTCACATGCTTCCACACAATCATGTGCTTCCAAGGATAAGCAAAAATCTAGGTTATTTTTCTTAGTCCATAGATTTTTGTTATGATATAGATGCTTTCTGTGCCTTTCTTATATTTACTTCCTGGTCAGAAATATGGCAGTAGAATTTTGCTAAATTAATAGCAGTCATCAGCAGATTTTTCTTGATGGATGGGGAGAAGTCACAGATATCGAACTGTGACTGATATATATATATATATATATATATATATATATATATATAATTATTTTTTATAAAAAATTATAACATAAGTATGTTATAAGATCACTACAAAAATAGCCATTTTGTTTCAACACACTCTGTGTCTTATCAAGTGATGATGTTGAAAAGAAAATATATATATATCAGTCACAGTTCCATATCTATATCTATATATATATCAGTCACAGTTCGATATCTTATTGAGCACTATAGAGAAAAGAGAAATTTTAACGTCTGCTGCTGTTACTTTAATGCATCACTCTTTGTAAGAATTGAGCTCTATGGCATCAACCAGTATGATCTTCATATAGCACATATCTAATACATAAAAAATTCCCTTTCTCTGCTGTGTACTGATAGCCTAGGAGTAAGAGTCTCTTACTGATGTCAAATCGGTCAAGTTTCACTCCTGGATAGAAGCAATCAGATGTCTAGCCACACTCATGAGCTGTGATACAGCAAAACTGTCTGTGGATGACTATATATATCTATATTTTATATATATATATATATATATTTAAGCAAATCTATGGATATAGATTCAACAGTATGAAGAAAAATATACTGAAAAAACAAACAAAAATCCTAATATGTGATTATGCTGTTTTAATGTTTAATGTCAACATCGGACGTTTCGGTCTAATAGACCATCTTCAGGACATATTCATAAAACATAATTAACATAGACCATATAAAATTCAACATATGGATGATGGACATAAAAGCAATACCAATCCAAACAGATAACAGAAATCTTTTATAAGATCAGCGTTCCATTTAAATATGATCACATCGTTGTCATGTGGGCGATGTTGTGAAAACGTATTCATAAAATTTGAGTATTTTGAATGAAAAACGAAAAGAATTTTATTTTGATCTAAAACTTATATACTTATATAAGAAGCCAGCACGGTGAACACTAGACCTGGCTTCTTTAATATTTCTCCTTTTCTAGCAAGATTAATGCTCGACAAACGTATATATAAGTTCATGTTTCATGTTAAATTGTATATGGTCTATATTAATTATGTTTTATGAATATGTCCTGAAGATGGTCTATTAGACTGAAATGTCCGACATTGACATTAAACATTAAAACAGCATAATCGCATATTAGGATTTTTGTTTGTTTTTTCAGTATATTTTTCTTCATATATATATATATATATATATATATATATAAGTGAACATTGAAATATTCAATGTTCACTTTTATATTTATATTCACCTTCACTCTATCTCTGATATATATGTGTGTGTTTGTGTGTATGTGTATGTATGTGTGTAACAAAGTCGAAAAATTTTCTTGTGATGCATTTCATCACTTAGAACTTCATCTGATTAAATTTGTTATGTTGGTGTGACTATATATGAGACTACACACCAACATAATATATTTAGTCCAATGAAGTCTTAAAGGAAGGAACACAACACAAGAAAATTTTCCACTTTATCATACATTTTTCTCAATATTGTTTTTGATATATAAAAATATATACCATATATATATATATATATATATATATATATATATATATATATATATATATATATATATATATAACTTTTATGTGTGTCTTAAAATATTTAAAAATTTGAATGCTTTTAGAATTTTTGACCCCATTTTGATACAAATCCACTCTTTGGCATTAAGATTGATTTATGTTAACACTGCAGAACACACTTGTATTCACTGAACATAGAGTCTTTGAACTTTTCATTAATTTATTTACCATATATATATATATATATATATATATATATATATTTGTGCATGTATATGTGTGTGTCTATAGGTGTGTCTTTCAACATTTTGTAACATTTTAAATATTTTCTCTTTTTAAAATCTTTTATTTGTATTCCTTCATGAATTCCATAAAAATCCATTTTGCTGTTTAAACTTTGTTGAAATCACTTCAACAAAAAAAATCAGATGACGTTAAAATATGTGTTTAGAAATGTTGTCTTAAATCCTTCTAACTCTTTTTTTCATGTAATTTATTTTTTAAGCAATTCATTGTTTTAACATTTATTTTAAATAAAAAATTTTCTCTTCAATTTTTTTATAGCAGACACAATCCAAATAACATCACAAATAATGATAAAATCTTCAGATTTGTAATTTAGATTCAAATATATCTGTAAGGCATGATTAAAACAATTATTCAGTTGAAATGTAAATAAATTCAAAAGACTTTTACAGTGAATTATGCTAAAATTCCAGAACTATTCACAAATCAAATACTAATTATTATTACAAGTTGGGGGTGCTGAAAGGTGTTATATCCAGATCAGTATTTCTGTGACCAAACATCAGAATACTTATTTTGGTAAGTGAGTCAGGTTGAGAACTTTTCAACCTGACTTTACATATTTCTGCAATTACTCAAAGAACAGGTGGAATCAGAGAAAATACAAATTTACCCATGTCAAACTACTAAAGAAAAAAAAGAAAGAAGATATAATGATATGCAAAATATTGACAAAAAGACAGAAAGAAAACAGAAATATTCAGAAAGAAAGAAAAAGAAGGTAAAATTCAGAAAGATAAAAAGAAGGGAAAATTCAACTAGAAAGCAAGAAAGAAAAGTAAAATATTTTAAAAGAAAGAAAAAAGAACGAAAGAAAAAAAGAAAGAAAGAAAGAATTGGACATATTCAGAAATAAAGAAAGGTGAAAAGAAAGAAAGAAAAAGTGGGGCATAGTCAAAAAGAAAGAAAGGTGAAAAGAAAGAAAAAGTTGGACATATTCCCAAATAAAGAAAGGCAAAAAGAAAGAAAAAGTGGGATATATTCAAAAAGAAAGGTGAAAAAGAAAAAATAGAAATGGGAAATATTAAGAAACAAAGAAAAGTGAAAAATATTAAGAAAGAAGGAAGTAGAAAATATCAAGAATGAAAGAAAAAGAAAATCACAAAGTAGAAAGAAGGCTTCCCAGATATTTGAACTTTTGCACCTGCTTGATGTTGACATCTTCAATTCGTAACTTGCATCTTGAGCTTTTTCTCTTGCTGATAAATATACTGGCAGAAGATTTTCACACAGTAGGTTGCAATTTCTTTCTGTGGTAGACTGGTTGCCAACCAAGGCTATAGGACCCAGTCTATCCTGTAATTTAACCCATAGCTGAGAGGAAAAAATATGGATTCATACCTTTCCCAAGTGTATTTGCATGTAAGCAAATGTAACAGGCCCAATTGGAATTTGAACTTGTCTCTCCAATTTCTCATCCTGAGCCAATATCTATTACACCACAACACACATCCCAGTTCTCCTATATGGCAGTGAATACTAGTCAATGTCCTCATAGATGAAGAAGAGACTTGAACCAACAGAAATTATTTCAGTGTTGCACTTCCTGCTCTCTTTTAAAACACTTTGCAGATATTTGTTATACACATTTGATTTCAGTATCTAAAATTTGTAATTTATATGTTAGGCTGTTCTTTTTGATGAAAATCATTCAGTCCTCTTGCAACCGAGTTTCAATAAAAGAAACACAGTAGCAAACTGAAGATTAGCAAAGTAAATATTAAGAACAATTTGAACAACTATTATGGGTAGCCTAATTAGTAAGTCATTGTCTTTGTAAGACAGACTTCCAAAGACAAAAGATGTGTATTAAATGTCTTCAGCAGTTTCTTTTATTTATATTTAATCCATTCAGCTTAATTAACCGTCATAAAATAATAATGCCTTGAAAGTTTCTTTTGTTATTCATAATCTCTCAGAACTCTCACTTTTCAACAAACACAAAAGTGCTCACCTTGACATCCACCATTCAAATGACACAAACAAGCTTAATTTTAGGCATCCAAGAAAAGAAAAATTAAAAAATATTTTCTGACCAATCAGAAAAAAGATCCAAACAACTTCAACCAAACCTTCAATTTTTAGCCACTCTAACACTATTATAGACTGGTATCAATTCAGTTCTGAAGTATAAGCCTTGTCCAATCTACTACTGTCAGTTACCAGTTTCCTGCCCATTTTGACCAGGCACTAACCTAAGATACTTACACACTGAAACCTGAAGCTGACAACCAAAGGCAGCAACAGACGTGCCAGAAATCTGATATTAAATGCAGTTACTGAAAGAAAGCCTCTACTCCTATGATAGTTTCAAGTGCATAAATCCTGTAGGTCTCAACAAGGAACATACTTCTTTGAACCTTGTGGACTGGTGCTACAGAATCCCAAACAAAGAGCTATAACAAATAACAGAAACATCATCACTTGTGAATTTTCAACATTAACAGCAACTAAAATAATAAGGGATAGCACATGTAACTAAATTGAAGTGAAAACAATGACATAAGATGTTGACATTCAAAACAACTTCAAATCATGTGTTAGGAAGTAAATCTCCATCAATACTGGAATGAGCAATAACACTTTCTGGTTCTGAGAAACCTGTTTTCCTGACAAATTGTTTTAGTAGAAAGATTTCATATACTCAATTGAAAGTAGCTCTGGTCGCTTGGTTAATGAATTCCAAATTTTTCTTTATAAGGAAACGATTATAGAAGGTTAATATGCCATTCAAGAAACTAAGCCAAACCAAGAAATTAAAAAATGTGAAATAAATTCATTACATCAAAAAGACTTTTATGTTCTTGGAAAACTATAAGCCAAGACTACATTTACCAAAGCAAGACATTGGTCATTCAAGAAAGAATTTTCTCTTCTCGGAGATTTTCCTTTGAAGATCTCGTTTATAAGAAACATCACAGTAATAAAGATTCACAAGCAAGTCACAACCTTGGTACATTATTTTTACTTTCTTTCAATGGAGCCAAATAGTTGGTAATGCAAATCCCCAAAGACATCTGAAGATCACTTTCAGTTTTTGTCTTGCTAGAATCTAAAGAGAAATCAGACCTGAGCTCAACAATACAAATATAGAATAGACTCCAACATATCTTTACAAGACGATAACTTGTTTTTAGTTCCGTTATATATTTGTCAAACTTCTTCAACAATAAGTTTGCCAATCTGCAATTCCATTTCTAACTGCCAGCTTGTTTATTATTGTTCTTGAGAAATACAAACAACAAAATCCTGAAAAAATACAGATTCTATAAGACAAATCAAAGTAATGGTTCTTCAGTAAAAGAAAATGTTTCTTTCCAGTGAGTACAATATAATGTTTTTCAGATCAATTCAGCAAAATGTTTCTTAAATAATTAATTCAGCAAAATGTTTTGTTATAATAAATTTGTTAAAAAAATTTTCAGTTTTTACAATATAAACTTCTGAAGATTACATTCAGTTATTGCCATGATATTTTTCCTACTGCCTTTGCTGAAAATAATGATTTTGAGAAATGGGTTAATCTGAGAATTTTTCATCACCCCTTGTAGATAAGCAAGCGAACTGAATTTTTCATCACCCCCTTGTAGATAAGCAATATTACACAATATAGAAAAGATTTTTAAATATCTTTACAAGAGGAGAACTTGTTTTTAGTTCAGTTACATATTTTTCAAAATTCTTCAACAATAATTTTGCCAATCTACATTCCCAGTTCTTGCTGCCTTCTCATTTATTATTGTTCTTGAGAAATACAAGCAAGAAATCCTGAAAAACTATGGATTCTATAAGATAATTCCAAGTAATGGTTCTAAGGTACATGCAAATTATTTTTTCCAGTGGGTACAATATAATGTTTTTCAAATTCATTCAGTAAAATATTTTTTAAATAATTCATTCAAAAAAGTTTTTTTTTAAATAATTTACTAATTTATTTTCAATTTGTACAATATAAAGTTGTTTTTGAAAATGTTTTTTTCAGTTAACACAGTATAATTTTATTTTTACAGAATTTTCTTAATTAATACAGTAAAATAATTTTCGAAATTCTACAATAAAAAGTTATTTTCCAATTAATACAATATAATGTTGTTTTATAATTAGTTCTGTAAAAAGATTTTACAAATTATTACAATAACATGTTTTTCTATTTAGTATAGCCAAATTTTTTTTTTTTAAATTGGTACAGTAAAACATTTTTTTATAATTATTTTTAGTTCAATGAAAAATTATTAAGCAGTTATTTTAAAATATTTTTTCCAGTGTAATTTTTAAAAAATTAATCTCAGATATTCAATAAATAATTGTAAATAAATTGAAAATATATTCCCTAACTCCTATGGTACACATGTCATTTTTAAAAAGATGCAACATTGTGTCTAATGGGTTTAAAATATCATAATATATAGAGAAAAGAATAATATATATATATATATATATATATATATATATATGAAAGATATTAGGCAACACTCACATACACACCACATGTAACAAAAAAAACAACAGGAAAAGAGATATATGGTGCAATCCATCATAAAACAAATATAGGAAAAATATTCATTAAAGTCATACACAAAGACCTCCCCACATCAAGCACTCTCCAAAAGATAGTCAACAAAAACACAATAAAAATCGGCTACAGTTGCACTGATAACATGACACAACTAATAAAAGTGCACAGCAGAAAAAAACAACCAAATACTTACAGAAATCAAATCAATCTGTAACTGCAGAGAAAAGAACGAATGTCCATTAAATGGCAATTAATTACAAAACAATGTCATATTCCAAACCACTGTAAAATCACGAGATAAAGGAAAATATATGTAGGCTTAACTGAAGGACCCTGAAAACAGAGAATCTACGCATACAAAACATGCTTCACAAATACTAAATATGCAGACAGTGCAATGTTTCCTAAGCATATATGGGAAATCAAAGTCAAAAACCAAATCACACCAAAAATGAAAATATGGAAAATAAGGAAAACTGCATCAGTCTACAGCAATAAATCAACTCAGTCTGGGGAAGAAAATAGCTATAATTACCTTCCCAGGCCAAAATAAATTATTAAATAAATGATCAGAACTCATCTCAAAATACAGACACAAAAACAAATTTCTACTACATGCTTAAAACTTAGAACTAAAAGTGAAAATAAACAAATAAATAAGTAAAATAAAAATAAAATAAATAAAACATTTAAATCAATAAATAAATAAACAAATTAATTAAATAATAAAGAAATTAACAAACTACAAAAGCGCACATAAATACAAGTAACTTCAATAATAATAATAAACAACAAATATTAAAGTAATTAATAATAAATAATGAGTGAAAAAAATTCAAAACAACACTATAATATAGCGACAAATGACTGCATTCATATCTAAAATTATTTCAGTTCAGGAGCCTCTAGAATAATTTGAAACATAACTGTTAATGCCCACCCAATAACCATGAGGATAATACAATAAACTTTCTAGCCATAATACACCACTGACCAGCATATATAAATAGTCAAACCAAAAAAAAACACACATGGAAGATTGCATTTTAGCATGAAACAACTTATCTCTGTTGGGTGTTGACCTCAATGTCTACTTACATATATATATATATATATATATATATATATATATTTATATATATATAAGATTTCCTTTCATCATTATTCATATTGCCCTTTTACAGATATACTGTATCTTAAATTTATATATATACTAGCAGCATGGCCCGGCGTTGTCCATGCTTGATTCAAAAATTGTATGACTCATACAGTAATCGCTATTACTTGACTTAAAATATTTTTGCCCTTCCTTGCCTTTAAAGGAGTGACCTTTGCCATGCTGATGTTGCTACATGCCTTACTTCTTGCCTATCTCA